AGGCCTCAACTATAGACAACTAAGAAATGCTGAGAATGGAGAAATAGTCTTCCCCAGGGAAGAGCTCACCAAATGATTATCCAACACCAAATGGTCAGCCCTGAAAACACTATACAAGTGACAGGCTGAGCAGGTTGGACTGATGTAGATATATGTATGTATGTACGTGTTTTTGTACATTTACCATTTATGCATTTTATACATACATATTTATGTGTAATAACAATTACTGAAAAGAGATAATGAATTTGAAAAAGAGCAAAGGAGGAGATTATGGGAGGATTTGGACAAAGGAAAGAAAAGGGGGTAGACTGGGGATGATGTAATTATAATCTAAATAAACACTAGGGTGCTCACTGCTCTTCCCGAGGACCTGGATTCACTTCCCAGCTCTCACATGGTGACTCTCAACTCCCGTCCAGGGAACCCGACACTCTCTTCTGGCTTCTGTGCACGGCACACGCACGGTGCACAGACGTACACGTATGCAACGCTCGCATACACATTAAATAACAAAAATTGAAAAAGGAATTAGAAAGGGCCCGGTCGCTTATTCACACAATGGTAGAAAGCTTGCCAGACATGCCTGGGGCTCAATTCCTGCCTCTAGATTTCGTTCTCCAATACTGCAAACAAAGAAAAACCCCACAAAATATGCATGTCAGATAGTCAGCTAACAGGACACTGTATATAACAAGAGAAACAGGGACGGGACTCTGACTGAGGTAGGAATGGAAAAGAGGGGTAGATTAGAGACACCAAGTAGACCAGGGAAGCACGTGGGGCCTGAAGGGGAAATGAGTTGTGTGAGGTCATTGTCGAGACCTTGAAGGGGCTTATGATGTACATCAAACACACACCTGCCATGAGGTGCCATCCCCCGTGGGGTGATCCACCAAGATATGATTTTAAATGGCTGCAGGGGAGCTACATTTCTGAGATCAGTGAGCAGCAAAGCAATCCAGAGTGGATCCTCTGAGCACGTCAGAGAAAGGGGGAGCCAACACTTACACAAAACTTAAAAATGTGAGGAATCAGGGCTGGGATCAGTGACTAAATAAATAAAATAATAAAAAACAAGTAAAATAAAAATTAAAATGTAAAAAATCAAGGCTGGAAAGATGGCTGAGCAGGTAAGGATCTGTGAGACCCACATAAAACTGAAGGGAGAGATCCAACTTCTGACCTCTGCACACAACAGAAAATTTTAAAATTAAGGAAAAATGTAAGGAATGGCCAAAAAAAAAAAAAAAAAAAAAAAAAAGAAAGAAAGAAAGAAACATATTTTCAGTACTTTTGAGACAGGGTTACACTCTGGTTACACTCAGGGTTATACTGTGTAGCTCTGGCTGTCCTGGAACTTGATATGTATGTAAACCAGGCTGAGCTGCAGCAGAGATCCTCCGGCCTCGGTCTCCTGACTGCTGGGATTAAAGCTTGTACCACCACACCTGGCTTAAAAACAACATACAAAACAGTATTGCTTTTAATTATGTGTCTGCCTGTGGGTGTGTCTGTGTAGGGATGTGTCCCTGATTGCAAGTGCCTGTTGAACAGGACGGCGTGGAGATGGAGTTACAGGTTGGTGTTTGTTATCTGGTGTGGGCGCTCGGGACCAAATTCGGCTCTGAAAGAGCAGAATGGGCGTTGACCTGCTAAGCAGTTTCTCCAATCCCTGAAATAATTTCTCCAGGCTTTTGTTCCAGAGAGCTCTGTTTAAGGCAGTGAGTCTCAACCTTTCGAATGCTACGACCCTTTAATACAGTTCCTCATGTGTGGCAACCCCAGCCATAAAGTTATTTTATTGCTACTTTATAACTGTACTTTTGCTACGTTGAGAAACTCTTCAGTAATTCCCAGGCACGCCATTCACCTTGGGCCAATTTCTTTGCTCCTCAGCAACATAGCCTGGTTAACACTGAAAGAACTCTCAGTTACACGAACTGTTACAACATGTGTTGGCAATACAAGGGATGGGTTATTGATGATTTTGAGGCTATGTCATATTCCACTTAAGTGTTTTCAAAATAACCTTACTGAGCTGTTCATGAAGCTTATGCTAAAAAGCTTAAAGCCACACACACAAACGTTCTAGTGGTATGATTAATTGAACATAGCATGAGAAGTGCATTTTGGTCCAGGCGTACACTCAAGAGCAGTTTGCCGAGGACGGGAGCAAGTCTTCTTTTGGAAGTCTGTCCTGTGCAGTGGAGAAACTAAAAGCTGGCCAAAATTTTACTGCCTATACTTGAGATAACCTAAGGTGCTCTTGCAAATCTTCCAAATACCCACTAGGGGGCAGTGTGACAGCCATTAAAACCCATAAATTCTAATGTCATGCCCCAGACCTTAGACTTTTTATTTAAAATTTCTGTGCCTCAGTTTCTTTGCTAAGAGTACTACCCATCCTATGGAGGTATAATGAGCATTACTGAGTAGCTATATACCAGTGCACTGTTCTGGATACCTGTCCCAGTGTGAGCGCTTAGTGAGTTATTGCTATTTATATTCTATTACAGTTTATTAATTACTATCACCATCTTCTATTAATTGACTTCTATTAATAGGCTGTTATACTTAAAAATTGAGCCTCTAAACTGCTCCCAAAATGTACCAGACATCAGCTAGGATACTGTCTTCCATCATTCCCACCGTAATCTACCGGAGACTTGGGACAAGAGAACTCCGAACTGGACTTTCCTGGCATGATTTTCTAGACACTGGAGGTGGGTGTCCACAGTCCACCCTCCTGGAGAGGGCCTTCCATAAGGTCAACCCTAGGAAGAGTCTGGCCATAGAAGGCCAGGCTGATCCTCAGCCCGGGGCTGTCTTCTCAACTGGCCACTACAAGAAAAGAATGATCCACTTACTGTCAGGTGCTGCAAACCTGTGTGAGCGGGAGAGGGCACCCTAGAGTCTGCGCAGCCAGCTAGGGCGTCTTTCAGCAAAAACCACAGGCCAGCGAAGGAGGAACCTTCTTAAACACTCACCCTTCTAGTTATCATGCCTGGCAGGCGGAGCAGGGACCTTCTCAAGGTCACCGCTACACTCTGTCACGATTGTAAACGAATCCAAGTTTTCGAAGTACTTCTTTTTCATCCATTTCTTTTTTTTTTTTTCTTTCTTTTTTTCTCTCTCTCTTGAAAACTTCTTAGGAATAGTTCCTATTGTCAGGTGAGGAAACCAAGGCTGCACGAGCCAGTCACCTGCTTGGTTCCCTCTGCCTGGAGCACCTCAGCACTGCACCACACGGGGGCGCCAGGGCAGTGGTTCCCAACCTTCCTAAAGCTGTGACCCCTTAACACAGTTCTTCATGTTCAGGTGACCCCAACCATAAAGTTATTTTCATTGCTATTTCATAACTGAATTTTGATACCGTTGTGAATCGTAATGTAAATATCTGTGTTTTCCAACGGTCTTAGGCAACTGTGAACTGGTTGTGACCCACAGGTTGAGAACTGCTTCTGTCGTCTAGAGGGATCAAGCCAACAGGGTCTGGAGCCTGAGCTACCACGCCAAGGAAGCAATCATATACACAGCTCCAGAGCAGCTCTGTGCACAGGCGTACTGCAGAGGCCTTTGCTCCATTTCCTGACCAGTACCCCTTTATTAGCAGGTGGCTTTGTTGGAGGAAGCATGTCATTGGGGGGGGTGGGCTTTGAGGTCTCCTGTATGCTCAAGCCACACCCAGGGTGACTCACAGTCTCCTTCTGCTGCCTTCAGGTCAAGATGTAGAACCCTGAGCTCCTCCAGCTCCATGTCTGCCTGCATGCTGCCATACTTTCTGCCATGATGATAATGGACTAAACCTCTGAAACTGTAAGCCAGCCCCAATTAAGTGTTTTCCTTTATAAGAGTTGGTGTGGTCATGGTGTCTCTTCATAGCAATAAAAACCCAAACTTAAAACATCAGTCCCAGCTGGGTGAGGAGGTACAAGTCTGTATTCCCAGCACTCAGGGAAGCAGAGGGAGGTGGGTCTCTGTGAGTTCAAGGCCCGCCTGGTTTTACGAAATGAGTCCAGGACTGCCAAGGCCACACAGAGAAACCTTGTCTCAAAAGAGACCAAAAATAAATAATAATAATAATAATAATAATAATAATAATGTCAGTCCCATGAACTTTTTTTCTTCCCAAGCTGACTTCTAACTTATGATCCTTCTGCCTCAGTTTCCCAAGTGCTGTGGTGATAGGCATGTGCTGCCTGCCTGAAGGGGCCTGCCTTAAGCCCATGATTCACGGCTCTCCTGGGGATGTCACTAACTTATTATACATGTTAAAAGGAACATCCTTACTCATACTGTAGGGATGAGACCAGGGTGTGACAACCTTAAAGCTAGCTGTCTGCTTTTAAGATGGGGGTCTCTCTATGTAGCCCCAGGTTGCCTTGGAATTTTCCATCCTCCTGCCTTGGCTTCCACATGCTGGGATCACAGGTGTGTGCCATGCCCGACTTTATTTGGCTTCTTGAGCCATTCCTCACAGTAAGATTTCCAAGAGAGAAGGTCTAAGAGAGTCCCTTCTCAATCAGCAAATGCCTGCCAAGAGAGGCCAAAGGCTTAGCCTAGGTGAGAACTCAGGTGGTCTTTCTGGTCCACTATTACCCACCCCCACACACCTTTGTGCCCTGAAACAGCCACAGAGCACTGGGCAGCAATTGAGAATGCTGGAATCTTTTCTTCTGTGATCCCACCATCCATGTGAGAGGCAGATCAAGGAGGGTGCCCTTGGAGCACTGATGCTTCCATTATACAAACCTCAGTCTGTGATGGCCACCCCTCACCCCCCAGCCCCAGCCTGTGAGCTCTGAATATTTGTTTTAGAAGGAAGCTGAGAAGAGCAGTTGAGGTGGGGAACAGAGAAGGGCTGTTACAGGTGTTGACGCCCCGCCCCCCTCCCACCCAGCCCTGATCCTTTTTCCTCTTGTCTGTAACCTGTGGACCCCAAGGACAGGGCAGCAAAAAGCTGACACAGACACAGAGAGGGACACACACATCATAGGTACAAACCATTCATTTTATTTCCGGTATTGGTTTATACAAACTTGCAAGATACAAATGCAGAGCTCACTGGGGTTCTTCAGTATCTAATCTGTTAAGATGGCCACTGAAAGGAGGGAGTGCTTCTCACCCACCTCAGCCAGGCGCCCCTTCTTCAGGGGAGGGCAGTCGGCTAGACAGACGCTCAGGGGGTGCTACAGCAGTGCGGTCCCAACAGAGATGCTGTTCATCTAACCATAACTCTTTGTCTAAGGTCACTTTCATACTAAATAAAGACACTGAGATCATAGATTTCCTTGTATGATTTATTGTCTAACACTAGCAAATCAAATTGGCCCCAAATATGTGCATAAATAGATATGTATATATATATATATATATATATATATTTATATATAGTACTTTTCCTTAGTTTTAAGAGCTGCCAGGAGGAGGGTATCTAATGGGGAAGGAAGGGATCCCGTCTTGCAGTAGTAGTCCCGCCCCAAGAACATGCCTTTCACAAAGGCAGGAGAGCACACTTGCTGCTTGCAAGCTTGCTTCCTCAGAAAAACCTTTAAAGTGACAGTAGCAGTATTTGATCGCAGCCTCTTGGTTTTTGGTGAAAGAGGTAATATGTTCACTGGGAAGGCCCTAAGTGGGTAGCCAGGGCTTTCCCCAGAAACGGTACTTATCCCTAGGCCTATGTCTGGGCTCTGTTCATTCAGAGCAAAAGGCTCCAGGCTGGGAAAAGGGCCAACAAATGCCAGAGGTGAAAGTCAGGCTTCAAAAGGTGGCCAGAAGTGCTGCAAAATTCCCAAAGACATCATTTCAGATTTAGGGAGAGGTCTCCATCCTTCCCAAATCTTTTGCAAGGCGAGAACCTCCTTGCTCAAGTCACCTGTCAGAAAGCAAGTTTGGGAAGCTGAGCTGCCACAAGCAGAACTCCAGCCTACAGCCTGTCAAAGCACGGAGGGTTTCCTGAGAAAGACCCAAACTTTGACAGTGACTGTTGGCCCTGCCCAGCAAAGAATGAGGCCTCAAGTCTGGATGCCAGACCAATGTGCCATAACTGCCAGAAAGAAAACTCCTAGAGGGAAACAGGTGTGACACAGAGTGGGCTCAAGAGAAAGTGTGGGAGAGGCCTGGGGAGCCCACAGTATTCTCCAGAGGACACAGCTGGTCCCAAGCCACTCTCCGGGCTTCAGCTTGGGTCTTGGGTCTGTCAGAGAACAGACTGACATCCTTCAAGCTGGCTAGCATAGGCTGCCAGCAACCCGTTTGCCTTTTCTCACAGAGGGCTGAGGGGAGGTGGTCCGGCAGCCCGGTTGAGGACTGCATGTTTGCAGTTGTAAACATTTCCTTCAGGAACCTCACATGCTTGACAACCCTGGGGCTGCTTTCTGAAGTTGAAAGCAAAGTCAAATTCTTAGACCAGGAATTTCAAGGGAATGCTCTGCTCCTGCTGGATGCAGTCCGGGGGAGCCTGGGGACCAGCCCTTGATGATGACTGGGCAATGGGGTAGAGGCAAGGGCAGAGGTGGGGACCAGGGACAGCCATCCAGTCTCTTCACACATCACCAATCCCTTTCAGACATTGCACATTTTGAAAATAGATCTGCTTTTTAAACAAAAACATAAAATAGGTCTGCCTTAAAATAAATCTTTCCTCTCCCCTTCTTTGGATCAAAAAGGCAAGGGGGTGTGGTTTCAACATGCTAAGAATGACGTGGACAGAAAACAGGTCAGGGCAGGAGCTGAGGAAAGAACTGACATGTATATATATTACACAGGTACCTATGACATGATCACTTCCATAAAACATATATTAAGGCATGTAAAGCAACATGAAGAGCCAGCTTTATGAACTACAGGGTGAGAGTGGAAAAGACACACACATTTCTTGGTATTTTTTGTGTTTCTAAAAATACCACTATTAAAAAAAGAGAGAGACAGACAAGAGACAGGGAAAGCCCTAAAATTTTGTTTCTTGTGGAAGAGGATGTAGGGAGAGAGGGCAACCTGGGGGCTAATCCCACCTACCAGTATTTAAGGAAGAAAGGGCAGGTTTGGAATGTCACAAGGATCACTTCCCAGAAGTCTGCTGGAAGTGAAGACAGGTGGAATCTTCCTGATCCAGAGTCTCTCAGAAGCAAGACAATATCCTAAGCACCTATAACAGTACCTGATACACAAAAAGTGCTTGACTAGTATTTGCTGAAAGAATCGTCATCTTTACTTGCATATGAACCAGCAACTGTCCCAACCATGAAGGAATGGTGGTAATGAATTGATGGGAGATGACGCAGTTGTTTCCTGGGGCCACTGATGTTCAGGCTGAAGTCTCTGGGCGGCAAGTGTGCCAGGACAGGCCTGGGGGCGTGTGTCTGCAGCTAGCCTTTCTTCGTTGCTCTCTGGCTCCGTTCACTCATGGTAGGTGGAAGAGAGGAAGGTTTCCGGCTCTCCGTGTCCTGTCTTCCCTGGGTAGGTGGGTTGTAAGAAAGCCCAGCCTGTGGTGCTGCTCTAAATGCTTGAGATGAGGAGTAAGTACCTAGAACTTGGCCTCACAGCTAAATTCTCATCCCCTCTTCCCAGGACAACTCCTCAGTTGTCCCACAGTACTTTCCAGGTTTGAATGGGTCACGAAACTGGCTAGGTAAGGCCCCAAGGCTGACAGACTCTATGTAAAACAGTTTTTTCTCTGCCCATGACCCTAGGAGAGAGACAGACAGCAGGCCTTGACACAGGCAGGACCATCTCACAGGCTACCTCACTAACATCCCTTCACTCCATACCTTGCTACCAAGCACCTCAGCTGGCGCTGATGTGTGTCTGGTGAGTCCTCTTGGTGCCACCTGCTCCTGAGAAAGATGTGAAGGTACATAGGTCACAGTCAGGCTCTCTGCTTGGCACTAACCTAATGCTTCACACAAGAAGCCATTCCTATTCTCCCTTCCCCTATTCCCCCTTCCTTGCCTTCCTGCTACTTGAGAAAAGCATCTGGCTTTCCCTTCCTTCACTCTCTAAGTGTCTCTCCTCTTCCATCTGCTCCTGCTTCCCACTTGCCCTCAGACACTGCACAGACCTGCTGTCATCTCTCTATAACACACCTGACCCCTCCAGGAGCCCAGGAGCCTCTCCCTATCACTCATTGTCTTCTTTGGCTCAAGCAGGGTGGCTGATCTCCAGGAAACTCTGGGAAACCCATCAGCAGAGCCATGCCAAAGCCTTGGGTGTCACCGAGGCAGCTGGGACTGAAGGGGAAGAAGATGATGGCAAGAGTTTGGCCTCTCAGTGTGTTGTATGGGTTCCAAGGAATGGAGAGTCTGTCTTGTCCTCACTTCTAGTCCTCACTCATTGCTGAGGGCATGCTCCCCACCACCAGAACACGGTTTCCATCGGGGGATGGTGGCAGGAGGAACACCAATGCCATCCAAAACTGCCCTTGAGCTCCCTGTGATTGGAGCCTCAGAGAGAATGACATCCTGGCCTTGCCATTCCAGGCTTTGCCTTAGAACCATGGCATGACAGTGCAGGCTTCCGGGCAAGGGCAGCAGATGTTAATTTGAAGGCACCCATGCTTCTTTCTGAAGCAGCCCTGGCCCCCAGCCTGGCTCTCCGTGGCACTCTCACAGTGGGTGCAAGAGCAGGAGGCCAGGATGAGGAGCCAGAGCCTCGGCTGTGCAGTGGATGCTATCAGAAGGTGGCTCTGTGGAGCTTCACAGCATTGGCCTCAGCCAGGGCTTGCACTAAAAGAGAGAGATAGAGAGAGAAGCAGGTGAGACTAGAACACAGGGAGGCACCTCCATCCAGCTTCTCTAGGGAGTTAGACACTTCATTACAAAGAGCTGGGAAGCTACCCCTTTCCCAACCTGGAAAGAGCAGAAAGGAGGGTGAGAAGTCAGGTTCTTTTCCATTCCTAACACATGGCTGTGTGCTGCAGGGAAGGGAAGAGCAAGGTGGGGCTATGGTGCTTTAGCACTGCCTGCGGCTACATTAATGTCTGGGAGCGGAGACACAGCATCTAGGTGCTTCTCAGGGTTCTGTGGCAGGATTGCTATGGATCTCAAGGGAGGGAAACTGGTTAGCAGACCGGAAGTATAGGGTGGTAGGTACGGAGGTAGGAGGCCAGGGAAGTACCTTCCCAAGCAGCAGACAGGTGTGGTATTAGCACCATTCTCTTCTGCTTGCAAACAAGCAGAGTCATGGGCATTGCCATATCTAAGAAGCAGCCTTGCCAGCCACCTGCAGCCAGGACTGCTTGGAGACACTGGTGGCTCAAGCGGACAAATGGAGGGGGACACTGTGCACAGGGTACCAGGGTGGGGAGAAGCAATGAGAAGGCATAGATGACTCAGTGGGGTGGGGGAAGGAGGACCCCCCCTCCCTGAGGTGCACAAAATACAGTAGAAAAGTGCTTACGTCAGAGCTCAGACCCGCATGGTATGGCTGCTGTCGGCGCCCCGTGGGCGTTCAGACGGTAGGGGGTTGACTGGTGGAGTCGGGGAAGCAGGGGAGGTGGGAGGGCTTGGGGTGGCACATTGCACTGGAAACAGAAATGAACAGGGGAGTGAATAGAGGACAAGGGCTGTTAGGGAAGGAGATGGGCACCCAGAGCAAGCGAGGGCACTCCCAGGGCAGGGAGGCAAGCAGAGAGAGAAGAGCTGGGCTGGGAGCTTGCTCAAGCAGAGGCAAAGCTGTCCTTAGCTCCCAGGTACAGCGGAGGATAGCGAGGCCCCTGAGGAGACCTGGCCAGACCCAGGCTCTGCTAAGAAGCAGGGTGATGGTGCATGAGGCTGCACCTGCTCTGGGATAAAGAGTCCCTTCCCATCCACACTGCGAGGTTCATGTTCCACCCTGTGCAGACAGAATGGAGGTGTGGCACTTCACACCAGCTATGGCGGCTGCACCCATGAGCATGATTAATAGTGCAGTAAAGTCACACCAGTCCATGGCTTAATGGAGAAGTAGGACAGTCGCTGGGAAAATAATTTTCAAGTGGATTCCGGATAGCCACAAAGTCAGCCCTGTCAACTCTGGTGGCTCAGAAGCCACACCCACGATCACGAGGAACCTTGTTCTGACCGGTCCAGCAGAGGGCCTTCAGTCCACTCTTGAAAAATCATTTTGAACTTTAAAACGGTGACATTTGGACTGATGCGATTTTGCTCTATCATCATGTCATGTGAAGAACAGCAAAGGGGAGAGACAGCGACAAGGAGAGTCATCTAAGTGGCCACGAAGCCCTTGCCAAGCCCTTGCCTCAGTCTAGCCAAGGCAGAAGGATGGCACAGAGCGCATCCTTAACTTGGGCTCAGAAAAGAACCAGACCTCAGCCAGGAGTCACACTGCGTTTCTAAGATGTGACGTTAAACTTCCAAGTCCTTGCTGCCCAGCCTGGCACCGGCCTCACCACCTCTGATCGTTGTGTAACTCTGGGCCAGTGTGCCTGCTACTGTTGTTATGGGCATATCCTCCGTGTGTTCATAGCCCAGCTTGCTCAAGTGCACTCGAGGTCATATCTACTTCCCATAATGCCATTTGTGCCTGGGATCTGACACCACCACGTTACACTGGTTTTCCACAACTAAAATAGGTGCTTGTGCACTTTCAAGCCTCAATACTTCCAAATAATCCAACATACTTGTCACATCGGAGGCAGAAACACTCACAAATGCTTTCCAACACATTCACGCTCATGTCCAGATCTCCAAAGGAGGGTTACTTAGGGGCCAAGTTCACACTCTAAAACAGTCAAAGACCCAACAGCGAAGCAACGCTGCTCCCTGGGGAGCTGAAACCAGTGTTATAACATCTACCTAGTCGGGCTCCTGTGAGTGAGCACACGGATCTGCAGACTCCATTCACTGTTAACTCACAGTTCTAACAGGTGCTGACCTGTTGGTATTCTTACGCACAGAGCAGAAGCAGAAAGCCGGGGTGAGACAAGGGAGAGAAAGAGGGGAGTTGAAAGGCCCCACGCAGCTCTAAGATGGCTGGCATAAGTGAAGAAATAGAGAGGACATGGAGGTGTAAGCGTGGAGGGGACCACACTTGGGTGTGGAGAGAGTCACACGGAAGAGCGGCTCCTGGGGGCACGCCTTCCCCAGAAGTCAGGAGCATAAGGACACTGACAGTGTGGACTGAGGAAGGAAAAGGCAGTTAGGTGAGTACTGTCTCTTTAAGGAAACATAAACGCACTGAACCAAGTTAATTTCAAACGTGTAGCAAGTACACATCGGACAGATGTGGCGCTACACTGCATGTACATCTGCACGCGTGAGCAGCCACACACATTTGCAAGTGCACCCACCTCTCACCCCACCTTGCGCAGAGACATTTCTACCAGTGCTACAGTGTTCCCGACACACGAGAAGCCAGTCACACATAAATGTGCACGTTCATACATGTCACCTCCACCCACAGGAGCACACACATGCTCACACACGGCATTCCTACATTTGCTCTTAAACATACCAATCATCAAAATATACACAGCTACGCATCTACAAACATTGCCAGGTACAGGACATCTGTGCCAGGCACAGACTCAGAAACACTGTGCCTTCTCATAGGGCACCCACTGAATCAGCATGCGGCAGCCAGGTAAGCTTACAAGCAGGACACCCCTCACTGATTATGTTGTCTATGACACACATACCCTTTCAGCTCTGCATGCCAAGCCTGCTGCTCTTGGGACCTATGCCCAGCCGTTCTCCCACCCAGTGTCCAGGGTATGAACCTATGCCCACAATGCGTGTGCCCAGGACTCTGGCTCGTGCTCTGGGGCTTCTGGGCCACAGGCCAAGGATAGTGGAACAGCGGGCTAGTTCTGAGGTCTGGCCCTATCATAGCCTTTTTTTTTTTTTAAGTTGTTGGGAGTTTTGGCAAAAGCACAATGACCACTTGCTTTTGGCACACAGAGCCTGAAATGTAAGCCCATGTGTTGTTAGTGGGAAATCTAATAGGTCCCAGAGCTTTGTTTTCATGAAACCTGGACAGCTGGGAAACAATGGAGAAAGCCAGGTCCACAGCAGGGCAGAGGGGAGTTTTTAATCTTTGTATGTGCCGCCCTCTTGAAATAGGAAGTGCCTTTTGCCCAAAGTGTGTGGAATTTGATTCAGGTTCAACTTAGGTTCAAGTTCTTTTTGTAACTAAAGTAAGGAGAGGTTACAGGAAGCCTCCCTGCCTGCAGCCAGACTGGTTGTGCTGCCTTGGCTGCAGGAAAGGAGCTGGCCCTCCTAGCTCTCAGGCTAGACATTGGGGTACCTGCAGCCCCCCAGTGCTTCCCAGTCTTCCATCCTGAGCTTCATATTCCCTAAACCACAGCAGGGGCTCCTCGAGGCTTAACTGGTCTCTTCTTTGTTGACATAACCCTCTGGCTCTAATGTGCATGTAGAAAGTGAGAAACAGGCAGAGGGTTCTCATTTCAACATCAGCTCCTACTGGTTCAAGTCTTTCTACCCAGCACTCAGCACTGCCATTGTCCCAGCCTAGTACTGTTTGGGGGGCTGCCATCTGCTGCTTCCAACCCTTGCACCATCTGAGCTAGGGGCAGGCGTTCTCAATTTTACCAGTGAGGAAATGGAGGCTTGGAGTGCCATTTGTCATCAACACAAAGCGCCATCCTTTCCACGGCCCTCCGGCTTCCATCTTTATCTGCTTGCTCCTGCATCATCAGGACTGCCATCACTGTGGCCTGTAACCTGGTCTGTATCACTTTTACTGGTCACCTTGAGCCATGGCTGATCTCATATCATTTATCCTAACTGTGGCCACCAAAGCTCACAATTTGTGGGTGTGGTGGTGCCACCATTAATCTCAACACTCAGGAGTCTGAGCAGGAAGATGGAGGGCTCCAGGCCATGCTGAGTTACACAGCCAGACCCTGCCTCAAAAACAAAACAAACTAAAATGATCCCACTATGTGAGGATAAGCTAACCACTGCCTTACCATGCCCTCTCATTCACACAAACGCCCCTTCATTCACATTCCCCTCCTCCAGGGTGCTGCTCTAGCCTGTGGAAGTTAGTCCCAGTGACTTCAACATTATGGTATCTAACTGGGACCTCTGTGTCAGTGTGAGCTCACTCCCTCTTCAGCGTCTCTTAGTAGGGAACTTAATTTGGATTAGCAGCCAAGGTGAAGATGGAATGGCTCTCAAGTCCTTACCATACCTTACCCCCCCCCCATCTTCTTTGCATTCTTTTGTTTGCATGTACCTAAGGAAAAATCAGAAGAAAGCCTGAACACCTGGCCTCCTCACCCGTGGTGGCAAACATACTTATGCTTCCCGAGGAAGCACCATCATCATCTCTTCTCTGTGGCTTTGCAGAGGCAGATGGTTCCGAGTTCCCTGCATTTTCTGACCGGTTCTCTGTAAAGTGGCTGTGAGCATCATAACAGCTGAGCCCCTGGAGGTCAGCCAGTGTGGACCCTTCCTACTGAGCCCAGCATGACCCCAGTGCTCAGTGAATGCTCAGTGTGACCCTGAGAACCATTTCCCTGGCCTGGCATCTCTCTGAGCCTGCCCCCCTGGCAGTACTGCACTTCCTCCCCTACACCTGGTCAGCTGGTGTCCCTGGCGGAGCGAGGCCCAGCCCCTCTCACCAGACAGCATGCGGCCCCTGCGGGAGGCCTCGGTCGCCAGGGCACAGGAGATTTCAATCCGCTTCTCCTGCTCCTGCAGCTGGCTCTCTGAGTCCTGGGGCACGTCCACAGAGTCCCCCTCGCCGACGGGCACCACGTTCTGCATACTAAAGAGGCACAGACACACAGACATGGAGGGAGGGACAGCATGGTCCAATTGGCTTGGGGTGGCCTGCAGCTGAGGTTGGTGGGGAGGGCCAGGGGCCTTTGAGGAAGCTGCCTGTGGTGCCCAGCAAGGCTGTCCCTAGGAGCGAGGGAGATCCTGGCAAGATCTTGGGACCCCTACCCTCAACATTTTCAAATGAGTTTTCGAGGTTCAAGTGAACATGTGGGGCAGCCTTGAAGGGGAGGAGGATGAGCCAAGGCGCCCTCTAGTTTGTGCACAAGCCCAGCAGTTCTCTCTAGGGCCCAGAGGCAGCATCCTCATTCCTGCCAGAGGCCTGGGTATGTCTGCTGCCTCTGGCCACTGCTTCCATTTTTCTCTACCCTGGGGAGGCAAGGTGCCTCCAAGACATCTAGTACCCAGGGAACCTGGGTGCAGGGAGGGTGGTGGAGCAGCTGGCCCTTCTAGGTCTATTACCTGGATTTGGCAATGAGCGTCTTGATCCTTTCCACCTTCTTCTGCTTCTCCTTCAACTCCTCGGGGCTCAAGGGTGCATCAGGTTCCAGGTCAATGTACCGTTCAGGAATGAGGACTTTGTCTGGAGTGGAGAGCTGTGGAGGGCCTGAGGTTACCACCCACACCCCTCCCTGGCCATCCCCTCCCTCCGCCCCTCCTGAACCCACGTACCTCCTTACTGATGTCCACATCATAGTGCTGGGGCTCCAGCTCCATTTTCCGAAGCCGGGCAATTTCCTCCCTCGGAGTCTCATACACCTGGCCGCCAGACTCCTCGGCCCGGAGGGCTGCCTCCAGGTTGGAGATGTCCACTTCATGGATGCTGCGGTGACGGCGCACCTGGGGGACAGCACTGTCGTGAGCATGTCTCCCTCTAGGCAGTTCTGACCGTTCCTGTGTCCTCGGCCCTGAACAGCAACCTTGATCAGGCCCCCATCTTCCTGCACTGCAGAGCCTCCTTCCCTCCCCTCTGCTTCCCCCACACCTGCCTACAGCAAGGCCTGGGGACACACTCTCATCAGTGTTTCCTGTCAGTTCTTGCTCCTGCACTTACAGGCTGTGCTGCACACCTCAGGCAGAAGAAGCAGTGTGCTCGTATTGATTTCTAGTTGTTTTATGCTAGGGAAGTTCTGCCCTAGCAGCTTGAGCAGAACTGGAGGAAGGTAGGATTTGCATTATTGTTTCTTTTCTATTTCTGAAACTTACTGTAAAGAAAAGTTAAACAGGTTCCTTGGCTCCACCCACCTCATACTTAGAGCTGTGCAGCCCAGAAAGCCCTTAATTTCTATTGGCTTTGTTTCCCTAACTATAAACCAAGGGTGATAAAATTTGAAATAATTGCTGTCATGGATGGGGTTAAATAAAGGAATATGGGTGCTCCATGAACAGTCCTGCTTGAGGGCTACAATGGCTGTCTTCAGGGCACCCAGGCCAATGTTCAACACACGGAAGGCACTCCAGAGTCGCGTAAAGGTGATGACTCTTCCCATATGGTGGACTTTTCACTATTTCCTACCAAATTAATTTTTTCTTTTAAGTGTATGTGTGTGAGAGAGAGATCACAGGTACAGAAAGCATGTGTATGTAGGCACCTGTTGAGGCCAGAAGAGGGTGTTGGATTTCTTATAGCTGGGATTACATGCAGTATGGACCATCTTATATGAGTGCCAGGAACTGAATGCCAGTCCTCTGCAAGAGCAGCAAGTGCTCTGAACACTAAATGAATTTTTGAATACTTCATCTCAGCAGAAACATTCCTCATTTTCTCTGGCGTTACTTTTCATTAAGCATGAAGAAGGAACCCTGACGGTAGACGCACTTCTATGCAGTGGGGCATCCCAGGGGCCCTGCTGGCTTGCCCTCAGTCTTCTCACTCAAGCTCCCTGGCCCAGGCTGCTCATGGGCTGAGTGCAGCTGTGTGGACAGATGGCAGACTCAAGCCTCTGGGCAGCTGGGAGGACATTACCACTTTGTAGGCAGGCCGGGTGCTAGGCTCAGGGGCTGGGCTGGCTGGAAGCTGCAGGCTCCTCCGCTTTTCCTTCATGGAGCCGCTCTGATGCCGCCTCATCCTGTCGATCTGCTCCTCCACGCTCATCTTCACCTTGCCCTCTCCAGAGAACACAGCGCTCTTGGGGCGCTCTTGCTATAGTGAGAAAACAAGGCTCTGCCAGGTGCTCCCATCCCACCACATTTCCCTCCTCTCCGTATGCTCAAAATATGTCTCCTGCCCCCAGCCTCCCCCAAGAGCACTGAACAAGGGTTCTAGAAAGGTATATAAAATTTTTTTGACCCTAATGTCTGCAAATATGATTTTATTTGGAAACATGGTATCTTCTCGAACCAGAGCTGTCCTTGTAAAAGATAGAAAAAGATGACAACATAGAGCGGAAAGTGTGATGTGAAGACAGAGGAAGACAGAGGCAGACACTAGAATGATTTATCTACACACAAACAAGTGCCAAATCTTGTCAGCTGGATCCACACCTAGGAGGGGCTGCAGCTCCTCCCTTAGCACCGTTAGCAGGCACTAACCTTGCCAGCACCTTCATTTTGGATTCCACACAGATGAAGAACAGACTTTTATTGTTTTAAGCTACATAGTGTATGATCTTTTATAGCCTTAGAAAACCTCTAAAGACTGGGATACTAGGAAATGGGTGCTAAGAAATACTTGGCATAATAAAAGAAACTTCTAAATCAAGAAATGGGTAGAGGCTCAGAGAATTTTGAAGTGAGTAATGGGGAAAAGGAATCATAGATTCCACTGGTAGAAATGGGGACTTCCAAAATGATTCAGGGGGCTGGAGAGATGGCTCAGCATTTAAGAGCACTGTCAGCTCTTCCAGAGGTCCTGAGTTCAATTCCCAGCAACCATATGGTGGCTCATGACCATCTATAATGTGATCTGATACCCTTTTTTGGCATGCATGAAGATAGTATACCCATATACATAAAACAAATAAATATTTTAAAAAGAAGAAGATAAAAGAAGAAGAAGAAGAAGAAGAAGAAGAAGAAGAAGAAGAACAACAACAACAACAACAACAACAACAACAACAACTACTCAGGTAAAGGAAAGAGGAGGTAAATGAAGAAGCTGGGAGCACACACCTTTAATCCCAGTACCCAAAATGCAGAGACAGGAGGATCTCTGTGAGTTCAAGGCTGGCCTAGTATGCAAACCAAATTCCAGAAATCAAAGACTGGAATACAGGGAGGCATTGTCAAAAAATAAAAATAAAAATAGAAGAGAAGGTTTCCCTCATCTTAGAGAGAATTCATATCACCAACACAACACTGGCAGAGGAGCTAGAAAGAAGGCTCAGTGGGAGAGCTCAGTATGAAGATTTGAGACTGAATCTCTAGAACCCACACATGCATGCAACCCTGGATGCCTCTGTGGTGAGCTGGGAGGCAGAGAGGAGCAGCTCTAGGAGTTTGAGGGCTAGATTGCCTGGGGTAAGCAGAGCTAAACAAGAAATGCTATCTTAAGTAATATGGAAGTCAAGGGCTAACACCTGAATCCTCTGTCTTCCATGTGTACTGTAATATGTGTGCAGTGTGCCTATACTTACACACACACACACACACACACACAGCCCCCCACATATCACACACACACATATCCTAACACACACACATACACACTTTCTCACACATACTAACATTGGCAGAAAAGTAGATGTTAAAGGTACTTCCAGTGAAGTTGCAAGAGGAAGCAAGGGGCATGTTTTTGGATAACAGACTCTTTGCCATAAAATGGCATAAACTTGGCTAATTGTGCTTGGTTGTGGGATGGAAAGCAGAATTGATAAGTAGTCAGCTTGGATATTTAGCTGGAAAGGTTTCCAAGTAGAATGTTGAAAAATGTGACCAAAAAGAAATCAGCAATCCACTGTTGTGGAAGAGCATTGTTTAAGAGGACACAGTTATCTTGCTGAAAAGATGGAGGTATGACTGATAAGCTAATCAAGCATTCCAGGAGCCAAAAATTGAGATGGGCCATCCAAGAAGGCTCCTTAGAGACCCCACATCAGATAGCATGAGTTCCCTCAAACCCAGCAGAGTCACATGTGTTTGTGAGAATGCTCTCAGAACAAACTCAGCCACATCTGAAGATGTGGGAGGAAAAGCTATCAGATTTCTGAGTGTGATATAGGCAAGAAATCAGTTAACAGAGCTTCTTAGATACAAATGTCAGCTACCTCCCTCAAGAAGAAGCCAGGCCCACCCTAAGAGAAAATCCCTGACTACAGATCATGAGGCCAGAGAGACAGGTCTAGCAACAAGCACCGGTGGAGCCTTCACCCACCCACAGGCATGGCAATGAGCGGCAGAGGACTATTCTCAGGCTGTAAGCCCTAAGACTATAGCTAAGAGGTATAGCATTTGGCCAGCGCACACAAGGCTCTGGGATTGGATTCCCAGCACTAGGAGGACTATCTTGGGGCAGGAAGATAGCTCAGGAGGTTAAAGTGCTAGTTGTGCAAGGCCAATGACCCAAGTTTGATCCCTGGAACCCACATAAAAAGCTGGATGGAATGATGCCGACCTGGAATCCCAGCACTGCTACCCAGAGAGGGAGGCAGAGACGGGGCACCAGCTGCAAGTTCATGGGCCAGCTAGCCTGGAGCATACAGTGCAGCAGCAGAGAGCCCGCCTAAGATGCCTCCTGACCTCCACACATGTACGGTGGCTCATGCACACTGGCACCCGCGCAGACATAATGAAACAGTAAGTCACTTTTAAAAAGAAAGATTACCTTAAGCCATTGTATTTTAGACACAGATTAACTTGTTTTCAAGTTCTCTATGTAGGGAGGATTCTGCCCCATAATGAACACTATCTAGAGTCCCATGCACACCTGCTAGAGATGATTCAGAGGATGAGCTACGGGACTTTGTGTGTGAGGGGAGGAGGTGCACAGTGCACACATTGGTGTGAGAATACACTCACGTGCGCATGCGTGTGTAGAGGCCAGAGGGGGATTCCAAGGGCCTTCCTCTACTGCCCCTCACCTTCCTTCTTGAGGCAGGGTCACTCCCTGCACCTGGAGCTCACTGTCCTGGCTAGACTGGCTGATAGTGAGGCTTCTGAATATGCGTCTCCACACGCCTACAGGTGATGCTACAGGAAAACGCCTTCAGGCCTGGCTTTTACAAGTGTGTGAAACATCTGAACTCAGGTCCTCCTGCTTGGGCAGAAGCACTTTGCTGCTGAGCTATCTGCCTTCGTTTGTTGAGACAGAATCTCATTCTGTAATCGAGGCTGGCCTTGAGCTCACTATGTAGCCTCAGCTTCTCGAGTCCTGGGGCCACAGGCATGAGCCACCTGGCCTGCCTGGAGATAACGGGAGTTGATAGCAAGTCTGAGCTGATAATAGATGGGATTTTAGTATTAAGGTTAGTGATGTTGTAGGTTGAGATTTTGGCACTCCTGGAATAGAACGAGTACTTTTCAAGCAGAAGGGCATAAAATTTGGCACTGTAGTGGTTAAACAGTGATCCCCAAAGATAGATCTAAACCCTAGGCCCTTTGTGTCTGAGATTATGCCCACTTTTTGGAAATAGGTTTCTACAGTTGTAATTAAGGTCATCGTGAATTTAGGAACCAAAATCCAAAGAGGCGTGTCCTTACAAGAAAAGGAGAGGACACACAAGGGAAGAGGTATGAAGGGAGAGTGATCCAAAGGGCTAAGCATTGCTGGGAGCCACTGTTCACCAGGAGAGGGGCATGGCAGAGTCTCCCAGGTTTCCAAAGGAGCCAACATTGGCGGCACCTTAACTCTGCATTTCTGGTGCCTGAGCAGGGAGTACAAAGTTGTGTTTCTGTAAGCCGCTAATGTGTGCGGGAATGTGTTAGTTCCCCGGAGCCCTAGGGAGCTAACACTGTCTACTTCCCTCTGGCCTCTGATCTCCCTGTCACACCCTGCCAACAACGCTCATCTTCCTTGAACCTTGATATGTCCATGAGGAACCATTCCCTGTGTGCACCCCCTCCCTAGTTCTGGGTCTTGAGTGGTCATGGCTACCGGGCACAAGCCTTCAGAGCCTGCAGGTAGGCACTTACCCTTGAGGAGAGGCCATTGGTGAGCCCATTGGTAGTCCTCCTCACCACAGATGATGGGGCCATCTCTTCCTCAGCAGGAGGTTTTGTCCGGGGGGGCACAATGCCAACTGTAGGGAGAGAAAGCAGCTAGTGGGCCTTTTGGGAAGCACCTGGAGCACACTCCTCCAACATGAGGGAGCACTTTAGCCTTACTTAGGCAGGTATGGGCTGACACACACCTTTGTTGAGAGCTGCCTGCTTCTCTGCCTCCACCTCTTGTCTGGTGGGCACAAGGCTGATGTCTCTGGGGATATCCAGGGGTGATGTCTGGTCAAAGTCTTTCTTGCTTGGCTCAAAGCCTGTTTTGGACTGGGAAGAGGGGATGGGAAGATGGTATTAGGGTGAATGCTAGAGATTTGGCCTCCTTGATGCCTTCTTTCAAATCCTTTAAGATATGGAGGGCAGGGAAATTACATAGGTGCTAGCTGGTGAACAAGGATGGCTCTCAGCGTGTGTCACAGGCTGAGTCCTCTTGGGAATGAGAGCCAAGGAGAGCTTTATCTGGGGCTAATGAGGAGGCCCCTGCCCAATCCAGGTCACTTGGAAGGCCTGGAGAAGCACAGATCGATTGTGGGCTCTGATCATGGGAGAGAGCATCACCAAACCCTAGGCTCTGAGGGCCCTGCTGGAATCCATGCAGATTAGTCAAAAGAGATCAGGTTAGCCTTGATACCAGGGTGCTGGGGAATTGAAATAGGCACTTGCTTTTTGGTTTACAGAGCCATGAGGCCTCAGACAGCCTATGAGCAATCACTTCCGATTGTAGTCGAAGATTTTAAGCCTCACAGAAAATTCAGAAAATAAGAAATAAAGCTGGAGTCTGAAACCTCAGCTATCGCTCAGCCAGAAGCCTGGGCAATAGTCCTGTTGCCTAGTGAACAATAAGTTCACTAGTTATTGTTCACAATAGTGAACAATAAGTCTTGTTCACTTCTTGGTGTAACAACTACAGGCTATGCCAACTATTCTCTGCCTGTCTCACTGGCAAGGCCTCAACTGCCAAATCCCATATAGGCAACCCTGGAAAGAACACATATCTCCCAATAACATACAACCAAGCCTAATCTAATTCTCTGTCTCTCTGTCTGACTAAGGACCTAGGTGAGAAGCCAGAACAGATGAGGACCCGTGTCCTTATATGCTAGAGGCTCATGAGACCTATCGAGAATAAGGCAGAGGCAGAACCAGAGCACAACGGGACTGGGGTCTGAGGTAGGCAAAGGGACAGGAGGGACCGGAATGGCACTGGGGAAGGTGCCACTCCATTTCCTTTGGTTTAATCATGTTGGTAGGGATCTCTGCCCACAACCATCCAATGCTCATGAGCTGGTTTGGGTAGGATTGTAATCCATTTTTTCCCATTGTCCACAGAAAGCAAAAGGGAAGATGGCCTGTAAGAATGTTACCCTAGGGCCCGGAGGAAATAGAGCTTTGTGGAAATGAGTAGGAAAACAACTCCAGTGCTCTACCCTGCCCCTTGCCTGGGTCTTTGTCCCATACTGCACCGTTCCACCCTCCAAAACCCAAGGATGCTGGGTACCTGACCCCTGGCGGTCTCGCCACTGCGATGCCAGGAAGGGGAGTTGGGGTATGGCCAGAAGCGGCTCTCATTGGGGAGTGGAGGGACGGTGGGAGGAGATTCCAGGGGTACGTAGGCTTTGGGGAGGGGCGGCCGAGGTGGGCCAGGTTCCTGAGGCAGAGAGAAGCCAGAGCATTAGGAGGAAGAAGAGCAGCCACTGTGAGAGCAGAAGAGAGAGTTAGCAGGAGCCAGATCATCTCATCCTATGGAGCATGCCCCTGGTCTGGGCACTGCAACCCAACCCTGGCCTGGAGAACTCCCGATCTACCGGCAGCCCTTTGCCTGGCCCCTCAGTGGATCCCTTCCTGCCCATCTCTCCACATTATTTCAAAGCTCCCTCAGTACTGCCCGACTAGTAAACAGCTCCCTACACTGACCCTGAACCCCATCTCCTCCGGACACTTCTGGTTTAAATTCCCATCAAGTACAGGGGATGTTTGCTAACCATCTTGGGGCTCGGGAAGACTTTCTTGTGAAGCAGCTAAAGAGGACAGGTGGACATGGGAGTGGGTACAGGGGAAACCTGAAGGAAAGGTCAAAAACTAGTAGGAGAATGGTTCGTAGATACTGTGAACGAAACCCTAGGATGGGGCTCCTGGGGAGAGATGGCAGACTGTGTCCTTTCAGGGGATCAGGATCTGGCCCTCTCACCCCTATCAACCTTGTACTGTTTTCATAGCTTACCTCACTAGACCCTGGCTTGGTTGGAGAGCCCTGAGAGCCAGACACCATTGAAAAGGGGCTCAGGGGACTGGTAAGGCTGGCAGAGCTGAGAGGGCTGGCAGGGCTGTTGGAGCTGTAGGTGGCCGAGGTGCTGAGTCCTCCTGGAGAAACAGAAGAGAGAGGTAGAGGAAGGAACGCTGTGCTGCATACATGGGTAGAAGGAGTGGAGGCGGTAGGGGAGGCACCGGCAAGGGTCAGGGTCACAGGCTGGCAGTACTCTAGAAGTACTGTAGGCAGTGAATTTAGCAAAGAGTGCTGAACTGTGGCCTCTGAGTGTCAGAGAAAGCCAGCCTGAAAACCTGGGCTCAAGGACACTTGTAAGGTTGCCCATGGGTCCGTTAGTGCGAGCTGGCAGCGGTGCGGCGGGGGGTGGCAGGAGCCCAGGGTTGCTGGAGGTGTCTACCTCTGTGCTTGGCTGTGTCGGTGCCCCGGGAAGGGTTGTTCTTCCTCAGCCCTTCCATCACATCCTGGATCCTCCAGATCTCCTTCTGAATTTGCCGATTGAGCACCTCATTCTGAAATAGCCACAGAGCCACTTCAGGATGGGCCAGCCCCACCCTGAGCCTGGACTCGCCCCACCTCCTGATGCATCAGAAGCCTTCAGAACCTGTGATCCTACCTGCACCCCGCCTCCAGCTTACTTATCTTTCTTATGGGAAGTCTTTGCTTCTTTAATATAAAATTGAAAAGCCAAGTCCCAGAACAAGAGTGAGGAGCCCCAGCTGGGCCTCCACGGGATAGGAGACATGCCCTGTTTTCCATGGCCAAGACTTTCCAAGTGCTTTTCGTCTTCATTTCTCCCTCACATTCCAACAGCCTAGACATGAGCTACATGCTACTCTAGCTAGCTCACATTCTGAAATTTAACATCTGCCACTCATTCTGTGTGCCTTAGTACCAGGCAGGGATCGGTCAGGGAAAAGACAAGGGAGAACAGAAAATAAAACAGAAGTCTCCAAGATCCATCTTCTTCCTCCAAGCTGCCTGCTTCTTACCCGTCCCTGGAAGGGAGGCCTTGTTGCTTCTAAAACTGTATAGATGGCTCCTGTACTGCCAGCTTCAGAGGTATTTATATCCACATATCTGTTTTTAAATTCTTTCAGCCATAGAATATCCTGCTTCTAACCTGTCTCTTTGCTTCATTAGCTCCATCCCTTGTGCATTGAGAAGAATATTCTCACACCGTCTTCAGCCTAAAAGCATAGTCCTGAGTGGCCTGAGTGTTTCTCTTTTCTTTCTTCTCTCTCTCTCTCTCTCTCTCTCTCTCTCTCTTTTCTCTCTCTCTCTCCCAGCTTCTCTCTGTGCGTCTCAGGACCAGATCCTTGTCTTACATTGAAATGGCTACCTCAAGAAAGGCAGCCATTTTGTCCTCCTTTGCCACACAGGACAAGAGACGACCCAGAGTGTGCCTTGCACCCACCACCCGCTTGGGGTCCCCTTTCACCTGGATATCCAAGTTCAGCTGTTCCCAGAGGTCATCATGCAGGGCAGAGACCTCGGACTCAAGGTTCTCATATACCGCTGTGCTGTCAGTCAGTGCCTGCGGGGGAGAGGGTTACCCAGTGTGATGGTTCATCTGGTCAACTTGACTGGATTTAGAATCACCATGGAAATACACCTCTGGGTGTGTCATGAAGGTGTTTCCAGGAAGGATTAACTGAGGAGAAAAGAGGTGGGTGGCACCACCACACAGGCTTGGGTCCAGATACAAGTGACCTGGTGCCTCGCTCTCCTGCCCACCATACTTTCCCCCGATAGGGGGCTATGTTCCCTCAAACTGTGAGCCCAAAGAAACCCTTCCTCCTCAGTGTCTCTTTTACCAAGTCTTTTGTCACAGCATGAGAAAAGCAAGTAATATACAGAGGATGCCGCCTTCAACCAGTCTTCCCTCCTACTGCTGTAAAGGGGTCTGGGACCTGGATCCCTTGGGTCTGAAGTCTGGCAGGAAGTGAACAACAAGGCTGAGGTATTCTGATGAGGGCTACCATTAGCCCTCTTTACCAGAGGGGCCAGAGCATATCCCATGGCATGCTGAAGAAAAAGCTGAATCCTTCTGGGTCAAAGGATAGTACCCTTCTGTTCCACTCAAGACAGAGAACAAGAAGTGAGGTTAAAGGGACAGAGCCTGGAAGACAGTGTTTGATCCCTTCCTGCAGAGATCCTCCTCCTCCTCCAGGCTGTGCTTCCCTGGACCACTGTTATTGGAACAAGCTGTTGAAGGACCTGCTGGCAACAGCAAGCCAGCCAGTGCCTACTTCTACAAGGCAGAGGGCAAAGTGGGCAGCAGATGGGTTAGACAAGCCAGGGAGTTCAGTAGCCCTCGGATACACACTGCCCCACAGGAATTCTGGCACAGACGCAGCCTGTGGGAGCTGAGCTCTACCTCTGGGTAGAGACATTGCTGTTTGTATGCCCCCTGCAGTAGGGGTGGCCTTGTCCCTGCTCCCCACCTACCGTGGTTGCCTGGGACAGCTCCACGCGGATGTTGATGAGTTGGTTCTGCAGGGACTCCTTTTTGTGGAGAAGCTTCTCCGGATAGGCAGGCTGGCTCCCAAACATCTCCAGCTCCTGGTGGGTCCCCATCAAGGCACTTTCCAGGCTCTCCTACAGAAAGATGGGGGGTGGCGTGAGCTGTCCCAGTGCCATTCTCTAGGGTTTTTAACAGATGTCTGAGCCGCCCGGCAGGGAAGTCAGGCAGCCTAGCAGAGGTTACCCTCATACTGGCTACTGTCCCTGGGAGACAGGGAGTCTTGGGAAGACAAAGGCAGCGTCACGCGCTATCCCCACACCAGCCCCACCTCCAGAGCACCCCGACTCTGACCTTCTCTGCTCGTAACTGCTGCACCAGCCGGTCTTGCTCCCTCACCACCTTGTTCTGCTCACACAGCTTGCCCAGCAGCTTCTGGGGGCCCAGAGGGGAGAAAGGAGACGATGAAGGATGTGGTTTGATGGGAACTCGGGAATTGGGTCTGGCCTCTGGATATCACCACTTTCCTCAGCCAAGGAACCTGGGCCTTCACCATCACCTTGGAGGCTCAGGGAAGAGCATGATGGATCTTTCCATCTTAGGAAATGAGATTCGATGATTCTGAGTGGAGGTGGGGGAGTCAAGAGCATTCCTATACTACTGTGGGGGTACAGTGCCCAGAGGACTGAGAAGACTATGTGGCCTCACCTCCTCCGCCGGGGTGGGGGGCAGGCAGGGTATGGAAACAAGCAGTCGTAAAAGAAGCAATGAGGTATGAGCCAGCCCCTCAGCCCCACAGGACACCGTTCTCTCTCGGCCTGGGGTTCTGTGCTTTCTTTCTCTAAGGCAGCAGCTCTAGACCATCATGACCTAGACCTGCATGCTGCAACCCTCACAGTGCTCGCATATCTGACACCCTGCATGGCAGACATTCACATTATGATTCAGGACAGTCACAAGATTATAGTTGTGAAGTAGCAACAGAGTAATTTCATGGTTGGGGTCACCACAACGTAAGGAGCTGTGTTAAAGGGCCACAGCATTGGGAAGGTGAGATGCTGCTCTAAGTCTCAGGGTGACTGATGGGAGCTTCTCTCAGCTTTGGACCTTGCCTGGATAGAAGCTCCCTCCCAGGTTTCAGGCGAAGCAGCAGGCAGAGGCCACTCTCTCTTCTAGAGAGTTTCCCATATCCTTATCTCTAACTCATGTGTTGCGCTCCCCACCCCCCAGCATGCTTCTACTGAGCCCAATCTTGTTCTTTGGACCTTTTATTTCAAAACCTTTCTCATTGTCTACCTATTTTGTTCTTGGCCCACGCATTGGCCCTACTCAGTGAATGAACCTGAGGGTGCCATCTGATGCTACTTGGGGTCTCCCACTGCTTAAAGATCCCACTGCTGCAGGTAGGACCCACAGCTTGGTATAGAAGCACAAAGCCAGAGTGAGGTGAGGTAGTGCCAAGTCCAAAAAGAGAAGGGGAAAGAAGAGGGGATAGGTGGAACTCGGTGTTTGTAGTCCTGATGAGAAGACATGAGCCAAACGCATGAAATGCCACCAACAAAGAGAGGGGAATGGTGAAAAAGCCCATTGGGGAAGGTGAGGATGAAGAGGACAGCATGAAGAGTACGCTGTGGTCAGAGGGAGCAGGGAGAGCTGCCCTTACATCCGTGTCTTGCTCATTTAGCTTGAAGGTGTGGAGGCCATCCCGGAACACCTCTGGGTATGCAGGGACCTGCAGGAACACGAGGCCGGTTACTGCGGCAGGGGCAGGTGAGGCTGCGTGAGTGGTAAAGCTGACGTCACAATCCTGCTTCATTTCTGCCAGGGACCACTTCCCATCACGCCTGACACTTCTATGCCAGGGACTCAAGCTAATTCTGTGTCCTCTGGCTGGGAAGCCTGTGATGGTGCAGTCTAGACTTCATCCTGACTGTCTGTGGCTGGTTCAGGAGAGGTTAGAACCTTGTTGGCCACATGACCAACAGGGCCACTCCTGCCCCTGTTGGGGGCCTGCTGGAAGGTAGAGTGCTCGATGGTAGTGATCATGAAAACACCAGCGACTCCTGGGCAGTTTGTGGAGACAGTACATGAGAGGATGGCAGTAGAGAGAACCGGAAACCCGGAGGACCACCGTCCCCATAAACTGAACACACCAATCACAGAGCCCACACTAATCCAGTGCTGGCAAGATTCCAAAAGCATCTCAGGGCCAGTCAATTCTGCCTTGTCTCAACAACACAGCAGTCATCGTGACGTTTTTACAAACCCTTGACACCCTCCCCTCATGCCCCAGCCCCTGTAACATCTGTCAAGAACACAGCAAATATGAACTGGGCATTCTGGGCATTCAAAAGCAGGTTTGTAATCCGCAGCACGCATGAGCTGCTGCTGCTCGCTGTTCCGATGGTTCAGGAAATGCACTTTGGGTTTATCTACGAACATAAAGAATGGAGGTGGCGTGGTGGAGTCAGGGAGAAAATCAGGCAGAATCTGTTCCAGGGGAGATGAGGCCTGGCAGATGAATGGATTGGGTGAAGCAGGCCTCATCCCACATAGGGTGACCCAACCATGCACAAGCAGCTAAGATGGCATTGACACGGACCATGCTGGCAGGCACAGGCCTTACTTGCATGAAGAGCTGGGCCCTGGGGGAGGAGTTCTCCACCATGCGGTTCACCATACTGATGAGAGTCTCGCTCTCACTCATCTGCAGCAGAGGAAGGAATGGACGGCTCGCTCAGCCTGGGTATGGCTGTCTCCCCATACCCCCCTGTGGTTCTCTGTGGGGAACAGGGAGGGACAGCTGCTCTCGGGGCCTTCCAGCACCCCATGCTTGGGCCTTGCCATTTTTCACCCTGTGAACTGTTTCAGGACTAGTACTGATGGATGCTGTCCTCAAGTAAATGCCACAGCAGGGCCCTGGGAGGCCCTGGGCCCTCACTGACAGCATGGGAGAGATACCACAAGGCCCAGGAACTCTATCCCAAGTGTGCCCAGCCACACAGGCCAAGCTGTCACCTCCTTCCCATTTCTCACACAGCTTCGGATGAAGACCACACAGTGGTGAGAGGCCAGTCTCCTCACACTGATGCTAAACTGAACTTAAACAGCAGACCTGGGACCTACTCTCTACATGGCACACCCCTCCCCACCTCCTGAAAGATTACTAAATGGTTTCCAGAGCTGGGCTGGCAGCATCCATGAGGGTCGTGGATGGCACTGGGAAGCAAACAAGGAGGCCAAGACAAGTGAGCCATGTTAAAGGGACACCAGGTGTCAGAACACTGCTCTCTACCATGTCCTCTTTTAATTTCAAGGATGGTTGGGAAAGCGGAAATGGAAACAGAGAGTGAGGGAGGGAAGGCCAACCGAACCAATGAGATATGCCCTCATGCGTCCACTGGTTCCATCGGGAGAGAATAAAAAAAATGAAACTGTCAGGGAATGTCCTTGGCTGTGTCCCTTTAACTATGTGTTCCACAGCAGATGGCAGGAGAAGACAGAAGGGAGGTGTGCAGGGAAAGCTTTGGGGCCAGGAAGTAACAGTGAAGGACAGAGTCACAGTGATCGTCTGGGGTCAGAATTTTATCACCGTCTCCCCAGTCTCTTCTTCCTCTTACCCTCCTGAGAGACAGAGAAACAAAATATGGCTCTGTTTCTGCCATGCTGTGGCAGAGCAAGGCACCCAGTGCCCTCATTCACAGGGTCTACAGCATTCTAACTTACTTTTTTTTAACTTTATGTGTATGTTATGCCTGTGTGTATGTCTGTGTACCGTGTGCCCATGGAGGCTAGAAGAGGGCATTGGATCCTGTGGAGATGGAGTTACAGGTGGCTGTGAGCAGCCGCATGGGTGCTGGGAACCAACCTGGGTCCTCAGGAAGAGCAGCCAGTGTGCGGAGCCAACTCTCCAAGCTCCAGATCTGCAGTATTTTAAAGACTTTCTAGCATCCAATTTTTCTACTCTCGAAAGCCCAATTAGGGTTTTTCCCAATTGTATAATGTAATGGCTTTGAGAGTACTTATAGTATGAGGGTGAGCATAAAAGTTACAAAACCAATAGGACAGGAGATAGAGAGATGGCTCAGAGGTTAAGAACACTGGCTGCTCTTCCAGAGGTCATGAGTTCAATTCCCAGCAACCACATGGTGGCTCACACCATCTAGAATGAAATCTGATGCCCTCTTCTGGTGTGCAGGTGTACATGCAAAACACAACATTGTATACATAATAAATTAAAAAAAAAAAAAGAACACTGGCTGTTCTTCCAAAGGTCCCGAGTTTGATTCCCAGCAACCACATGGTGCCCATAACCATCTGGTGCCTTCTTCTGGTGCCTTCTTCTGGTGCGCAGGCGTACATGTAGGTAGAATGTTATACAAATAATAAATAAATCTTTTTTTAAAGTCAAAAACACAACAAAACAAAAACAAGAGGCCAGCCTCCCTATTTTGTATAAAGATCTGGCCGATCCAGTCCCTTTCTACTTACAGAGACTGTGTAAGCGCACGTCAGCACGCACGTTTGTGAGTGTATAGTGGACAGCAGGAGACCAGGGTCTTCCTGGGCACTCACTAACCCCATTTCTTTCCCATAAGAGGTTTGTTGTAACAGTGCCCCACAGAGAGCTCCCATGTGCTTTCCAACCTGATCCTCTCACTACTCCACAAAAGAGCAGCCTCTTCTATGACTGAAAACAAAGAACCAGGGAGCCTGACAACCTCCCCTCCCCTGCCCCACCGCCCAGTGCTGCCCAGCATGGCACCACCTGGCTGTGTCTGGCCCTCATTACACAGGATTGCCTATGAGAATATTATCCTACAGGCAGGAGGGTAATCCAGAGGTGAGTTCTGAAGACCCTAGCAGACTGGAAGGGCAAGAGCCACTCTGTGTTAAATGAATGGACAGACAGCCATTGTCGACTGGGCAGAGCCAACCATAAGGCTAACAAGAAGGACAGCCTGTTTGAGAGGCTGATGGTGGTGCTCTGAGTCTCCCCCCTCCCCCACTTCAAGGCACTACAGGTCTTGCTTCCCTCTGGGAGGACCCAGCACCTCCCAGCCATGTTTGGGAGAGGGCATCTGGGACTCATCCCCACATGGCCTAAAATGCTTACAGCATGAATATAATGCCCTGCTTTTGGAACAAGAATGCAAGACTGACTAGAGTCGGGTAATCAGAACTTCCCCGTGCCTAAAGCCTTTTACAAAGATGACCTCACCATAACAGGGAGACATGGGAGACGACAGGTCATGTGGCTGTTACTGGGAGAGCAGAGTCACAGCAGTGAATATGGCCATTTCAAGGTCGGGTTTCTGCCTACAGATTTAGAAGTATAAGTTTGTCCTAATGAGATTTGATCCCAGCCTTGTCTCTTAAATTCCCAGCTACAAACTGGGTTAAAACCTAAACTCTGCTTTTCACTGGTTGTGTCCTTGGCATGTTTTTCTTTCAAACTTCTCTGTGCTTTATTTCCTTGTCTATGAAATATGATAATTCATGGTTTCCATCTTGTAGAATTATTACAAAAATTAAAAGGACTGTGATCTATTCTATTTAGTCTAACTCATAGAGGAAACACCAGTTATTATTATTATTATTATTATTATTTGTTATCATTGTGGCTTTTGTTATTACTGCTATTATTGAGACAGGGTCTCACTATGTAACTTTACCTGGTCTGAAACTCATTATGTAGTCAGGGCTGGCTTTAAAATTACAGAGGTCCAACTGTCTCAGCCTCCTGAATATTGGGATTAAAAGCATGCACCATTGTCTTAGTTATTATTGATATTATCACTACGGTCATCTCTACCACCCCAGCCTGTCTTCACAGGACAATGATATGGACTTCCAGACTCCCTGTGGCTTGTAGCACATATCTAATAATAAGTGCATGGGTTCACCTGCAACCCATCTAGACCAAGTGTTTTCAGCCAGTCCTGTTTGAAGTTAAAGGGCAAAGGAGCAAAGGAGCAAAGCGAAAAAGCCTGGAGTAGGAACCAGGCAGCCAGGCAGCTTATGTCTCACTGGGATAGCCATTGCCTGGTCTGCTTGCTCATCAGCCAAACTGAGCTGACATTACTGCCTCTGTCAACCACACCACACTCTCAGGACCATGAGCTGTGTGTGCAAAAGAGCTTCGTTGATTAACAAATATGTGGACTTAATAACATTACCTAAACCATTCTAGGGCAAATCTGTAGGACCTCAGTTTGTAATTACAAAGCTTATCAATGACTAGTAGAATGGGATATGATTCCCTAGCTTCGGCCTTAACTAAACCCCTGGCACTTAAGCCCAATCCTTGTCTCTACTCTCTTCAGCAAAATAATGTCAATTCTCACCTACCCCTGAGGATAGTTCCACGTGGGCTGAGTGCTGGAAAATGAAGACAGTGGTGGTAAATTGTTCACATGCTGTTTACACGCTTCTTTCCTGAGGACAACCCCAGATGCCCAGAAGGATTCAGAGGCAAAGGGGATGAGGGAGCAAAGCAAAACATGAGCCACTTTGCTGGGTCCTGGTGACCCAACAAAGGTTGACAAATGGCTGAAGGATGTTAGGGACCAGGAGGAGGGAGACAAGACATGAGGGCATGGGATGGTGAGGGGCACCAGCTCTGCCTACCTGCTGGTCCAAATACTCTAGGTTTCTTTGCAACTGAAGGTCTAAAAGTTCATCCTACCAGGAGCCCGAGGGCAAAGGGCCAACCAGCAACACAAACAAACAGGAACACACAAAAGAAAATGATAAAAAAAAAAAAAAAAAAAAGAAGAAGAAGAAGCAGAGTAGTTAAGAGTTAGCTAGGCATGGACAGGAGAAAGTCTCTGTCTTGCCCTTTTAGTGGTAGAAGGGGACAACACTACAGGCAGGTGGAGTAGGCGTGAGGGATACACTCTCTTCCAGCCCTATGACCTCTTATCCACCCTGAACATTTGATGAGAGGCGTTTCCAATTTTTCTGGGAAAATGGGCTATTTCTGGGAAGGCACATTTGCTGTAGATCAAGGCTATGGCGCCTGACAGGTTGACTAAGAATCAGTGTGGGGAATGGTTATCCTCACATATGCCCAGTCTCCTCCACCCTGGCCTCTCTTGCAGGGTATAGGACAGAGGTTTTTTAGTCCACAACCCATTTCTCAGGGGAACACATTCCAGAAAATGGAAAAAGTAGAAAGGGAGAGACACAATGTGGTATACCCTTTCTTCCTCAGTCAGAACCCCGTCCCTTTCCTCATGGGTGACATTTCAAACAAGGGCAAACCTGAGGCAATACACCAGAGGGCAAAGTCCACATGCTCCACCCTGTGAGTTCTAGCCTGATTTCATTCAGCTCATGCTCCTAGCTAGCTCTGGCCCCTCCTCTTGCGAGCTATGAGAAGAGCTGTGTTGAGGGCCAGAGGAGCAGGAGAGCACATGCTTTCTGCTCTGTGCCACAGAGAAGGGGCAACTGGCCCCAAACCCTGTCCTGAGGGCTTGAGGCCTGGTGGAAGGGAGGAGGTATTCAGAGACTTTTAAAAACACATGGGCCAGGCACTGGCCCACAGCATCCCTGGCACCTGCCCCAGTTCAGCTCCACCTTGGGTGGATGCACGAGGAGGTCCTGGGGTGGTGTGGAAGGGAGGAGAGGACGTACCATCTTATCGTGGACCGTGGGGGATGGTGGGTAGTTGTAGGGGAACAGTCCTGCAGGGACTGGTCGCCTGTCTCCCAGGTAATCATACTGGAAGAGAAAGGGGATTGCAGAGGTGAGAGGATATGGCTGGGATGTGGACTTCCCCACCAACTAAAGTTCAAGGTTAAGGGCATCTGTATCCTGAGTTCAAATCAAAATGCATAGCATCCCCATTCACAACCTATCTGAGTCCTCAAGATCGGAAGACAGACCTTCTCTGTCCTCTTAAGACACAGCACAATTTTTTGCACAACCTGGGAATGGGTACAGAGGGCATGGTTCCTATTTACAAGTCAGAACAACCCCCAAGGCAGCTCTCTTATGGACGGTTCCACAGGCCAGGCTCCCAGGGCAGATTCCTGGCCTGGCAGGCCACATCCCAGATAGCCCAGCACTCCCAGCTCTTCTCAGTGGATGATCTCAGGGCCGTAAGAGGGTGGGCAGAATGGTGGCTCACCTTCGGGGAACTGATGGATCGCCTCATCACATAAGCAGCAGGGTCTGCATAGATGTCCTCGCTGCGAGGTGGCAGCCGGTCAAAACGGGCACTAGGCGAGCGCACGGGGGAGTAGATGCGGGCACGACTGTAGGAGCCCTGGCTGGGTGAGCGGGGCACAGAGTGGGAACGGGGCTGCAAGGACAGGCGGCGCAGGGAGCCAGAGGCGGCGTCCAGCTCATCATAATAGACTGGCTGTCGGGAGGGGCTAGGGATCCAAACAGTGCCATCCTGCCGCCCGTAGCTGGTGGCCTCCTTCCATTCACGAAGCTGGTAAGTGGGTCCACCCCCATTACGGAAGGAGTGCCGTTTGTCCTCCAGGGCCCAGGGCGGACTAATCCTATCGTAGGCTGGCATGGAGCAGATGCTGTCTGGCCGTACCCCTGGAGGGTAGTACTGGTAATCGTCAGGGTACTGGGAGGAGTAAGGGCTGTAATACTCAGGGACCCGGCGGGACACAGGGTAGAACCTTGAAGGACTAAGGGAGAGAGAGGCCGTTATAAGTAAAGTAGACAACATGGACATATTCCTATCCACCTGTGCACCCAGTCCACCTCCCAGTCCTCCAGCTCAGAGTAGGTGCTTGCAACAGTGACTGGAGCCCACGGCATCCAGGGGAGGCCACTGCCCAGGCAGGGTCTAGGCTTATTCCAGCAGTGAGACTAAACCCCACCCTTAAAGACTGCACCACTCAGAGTTCAGTCTGCACCTCTTAAATGCAATGCCCTGGAAGACAGCTCTAGGCCTTATTTGCCATCTCCATCTGAGTGTGAGCCAGGTCCTTCCCAGGACAGGTGGGAGAAGAAAGTACTCAGGTGTGCCACAAAGTGAAAGATGAAAATGTAGCTTTTTAGTCATATGATATCAGAGCCACTAGGCCCCTGAAACTTATAAATGCCCAACGACCCCATCACCAACAGTGAGGCGTTAACTGTCTAGAAAGGTGAGCTTTTCCAGGCTCCAGGATCCCTCTTGCAGCTGTACTCACAATCCCTGGACCCCCCTACATACCAAACTCATTTTCGCCGACAAACACTATTAGACTCAGTAGGTACCACCAAATATTCGAAAGCTAGTCATCAGATAAATCTGTATTTATCCATGGAGTAAACTGGCATCAAGGAACAACGATAGAACAAATGAGGAGCCTTGTTTCCTTGAAATGGCATAAGTTGTCTGGCTCCCAGTGAATAGAGGCACTGGGTTCAGATGTCATAGGTCTACAGCATGATGGGGTTTAACCAGAACAACTTCAAAGGCTGCCCCTACAGCTGCCTGACTCCTGCCTACCAAACACCCTGGGCAAGGCACTGCATCTTCTCTCTCTCTCTCTCTGTCTCTTTCCCTTCTCTCCTTCCCTTCCTCCCCCCCTTCCCCCGAGACAGGGTCTCATGTAGGCTAGGCTCTCCTCCAACTTACTATTTACTAGAGGGTAACCTCATAACTTTCGCTCTTCCCACCTCTGCCTCCTAAGTGCTGAGATTTCAGGAATGTACTGCCATGCCCAGGGCTGTCCTTTCTTTTGAAGGTAGCAGACAGAGAAGCAATCAGAGGCAAGGATTTGGACAGGCTGAGAATCAGGAACTGTGTTGGCTTCCCAGCACAGGCAGCTTGCAGAAGGTTCCTAATAAAGCAATGCCTCACAAATGCTTCCCCCTTCACACACCCTAGCTGTGACATGCCGCCCCCAGGCCACCTCACCTCCGAAGGTCCTCGGGTGGGGGTGCTCCTCGGCGCAGGTTCACCCACTGCTGAAGTTGGTTCATGGAGCTTTTGCGCTGGGCAATTTTGTCAGGGTCAGTACGTGGTGGAAAGCTCCGCCGGTGTCCTCCGGTGTCCCCATCATGAGGTGGGAAAGCTGTGCTCCCTGGTCGACTTGGAGAGCTATACTGCCAGCCATTGGCTTGTGGGGGCTGCTCCCCACCTCCTGGGACCCTCGGGCCATCAGGGTAAGGGCTTCCAGGCTCCGAGGCTGTTTCAGGTCCAGATGTGAGGCCATTGGCTTTCACTAAAGGCTCCTTCTTGACTTCAGACCTCTCAGGCCTTCGCTCGGCCTTCTCACAGCCTCTGCCATCCCCCTCCCCTCGAGTCTTGGCCTCCGGCTCTGGCTTGGTGAGACTGTTGTGAGGTGGCTGCTGATGGTGTTTGCTGGGTGGGATATTCTCTGAGTCTGGCTTCTCGAGGCTGCAGGGTGCCAAGGTAGAGGCTGTCAGTGGCACTGGCCCAGCAGTGTGGGGTAGGGCAGGGTGAGAGGGTCGGGAGGAGTGGAGAAGAGGAGGAAGAGAGGGAGTGATGACACCTAATCCTGCTTCCTGAATCCCAGGTTTTACTGTATTGCTGGGCAATGATTAAAGTCAAATAATGCCCCTGGCAAACACTACACCTGCTCTACCCTCCAGGCCTATTTACCAAACCACTCTTCTGCTACTGATATGGAGCCTAGCCCGTGGCTGTGCCAATGGCTACCTTCCCCTCGTTTGGGCCTTCTCTTTTATCTGTCTCTAATCCAGCCCTCCAGACCCGGCTGGGACTGTTTCCCAGTTTTACAGCAGTAGCTGTACTCAGCAACAGAGAGCTCCACCCTGCGTCTTGGGGACCCCTCACTGGCCTGAGATACAGCATGGTGGGCAGCACGTACACAAGGGGCTGTCTCCAGCAGGTAAACACGAAGTTCCCCACCCCAAAGCACAGCTCTTCCAGGTCTGGCTTTCTTAGAACGTGGGCTCCAAAAGGGCAGGAACATGGTAGGTTTCCCTCCCTTGTGCTCCCAGGACCTGGTGTAGGATCTATGTCCTCGTTATTTTTGTTTGTTTATTGTTTGCTAACTTGACACAGCTAGAGATATTTGGGAAGAGGGACTATACACTGAGAATATTCCTCTATTAACACTGGTCTGTGGGCAAGTCTACTTGGCATTTTCTTGATTGGTGATTGACATGGCTGAGCCCAGCCCACCATGGGCAGTGCCACCCTAGGTAGGTGGTCCTGGAGGCATAAAAAATCAGTCTGAGCAAACCACAGGGATCAAGGCAGTAAGTAGCGTTCCCCCATGGCCCACGCTTCAGTTCCTGCCGCAGGCTCCTGCCTGGACTCCTGCCCTCACTTCCCTGGGTGATAGAGCACAGCCTGCGGGGAAACAAACCCGTTCCCTCTCAAGTTGCCTTTTGGTCAGTGTTTACCACAGAGTAGAAACGCTGACTAGGGCAGCCTGTTTTCTTCCTAACAAGTCTGTGAAATGGATGCATAAAGGTCTGGGGTGCACGGAGAAGGGCCCTTGAGACGCCTCCTCCCTGGAGCTCCCTGGCAGTCAAGCTTCCTTGATGAAGTACTAAGACACATTTACAGGTGGCCAGACATGGAGATCCACACTGTAGGGCCCTTTCACCTAACTCTAAGCTCCTCACAGGGAAAGGAATGGTAACACTAAGGCACTAAGCAGTGTGCCCAATGCTGTCAGACTTCACATGCAATCCAGGTCCAACTGCTAGGTTTGAGAAGAGAAAAACCAGGGTTCTGAGAGGTTAAGTTGCTTACCCTGAGGTCACACTGTGGCCAAGTGGACAACCTGTGATTCAAACCTGACTCCATTTCCCTCCAAAATATTTAATGAAAACAGCCTGGAACAGTGAGTAAATGACTCTCGCCTTTGGTTCTTGGCCAAGCTTCAGTGGAACTCTCTGCAGACTCCCTCGGCTCAGAAAAAAAGAGGAGGAACTGGTTGATGAGGGGAGGTGAAATTCAGGCTCTGCAACCTGTTGGCCAGACCTGCTGCCTAGATGAGGGAAGTGGTCCTCATTCCCTCCAGAGGTTCAGATCTACAATGGGCCCAGGCATGGTACAAAGCTGAGTGCTTTACAATGTGTTTCTCTTTCTTTTCCTCACTTTGAGGCCAGGTACCATGGTACTCACCCGTGCCGAACAGGTTGAGGTACTGACTTCTGGGCTGGAGGGATCTGGACCCGTGCAGCCTCACCCATGGCCTGGATCCAGGCCTCCTGCTCCTCCGGGCTTTCGGCACTGAAGAAGTAGGTGCGGACTCCAGCGTGCTCGGCCTGTGGGGAGAGGCAGTGCGTGGAACTGGCCCCAGCCTCATCTACCCAGTAAACAGTCACCTGTAGGGAAAGGACACCAACACACCCATAGGAGGGACAGTCAGTGGGGTCTTCACAGCCCTCTGCCTCTCCCCAAAAGTTGCTAAAAAGCTAGGAAGGATGATGGGCTGCAGCTGCTTCCCAGGTGCCTGCCTGGGAGGTCTCTGAACACTACCTAAAAGCCAGGTAACCAGGAAAATGAACACACCTCCCCCACTTGAAGTGGTTGTAAGCAGGAGGGACAATTACCACAACCCTCCCTCCCTCTCCTTCATTTCCACCTCAGTGAAAAGAAAATTACCCAGTGCTGGAGGAGGTCCCTTAAACAAACCCATCGAACACCCAGCTTCACCACTGAGACGCCAGACCTATCCCTTCCTGGAGAGGAAACACCTGATCCCCTATCCATGGCATGCAGGGCACACACTAGCAAACAGACGCAACGCTACCTAGTTGATGGCTGTGAGCAGGCACAGCGGGCTGGAACCCAGAAGAGAGCTCCTGTCCAGAGGAGGGGGGTCCTCATGCGGCCAGAAGGGGAGGCAGAGACAGGTCAACCGACACCAGAGAAAGAGACAGACCAGACAGTGAGGAGCACGAGGAGGGCAAGATGGGCTGTTCCCTCTCAGCGTCACCACCCAGGACAGCGCTCAGCAGTGCCCAGCTCAGCCCAACAAGGTTTGGGGCATAGAGAGCATGTACAATGGCAATCCCGGCTGTGGCATGCAGCAAGTCAGGGAGCCCCTGCGTTACTCCCAGCTCGCTCCCGAGCAAACAAGTTGTTATCTTGCTCCAGTTTAAATGATACACCCACCGAAGGGTTGTAAGGGAGAGGAAATCTGCCTGGTAAAATTCAAGGGGGAAAAAAGGGCCACAGGACTAGCTAGATTCCTTCCGGAACCTTAGCATACTCCCTGGTGATACCCTCAACTCCTAAAAAAGGTAGTTATAATTTACATCACCTACCAGGGGCTCCAGATGTGACTAGGAGTCTCATTCCAGCCTTGGCCCCCCTGGGTGCTAACCCATAGGTTGATGGGAGTGGAAGGAGAAAGGACAGGGCCCTCTGGCTAAATTTAGGGCTTTCCTGAACAGCCAAGTCATGCCCACATACAGACCAACCTCTGGGAGACTCCCTTCATTGTGCCCCACTTCTGTTTCCACCTTCACCTGGGATTCTTTGGGACCCAACCCCAGGCCTCCTCCCTTGGGCTGGTCCCAGGCCTTCAGCAGAAGGAGGCAGGGCCAGCACTGATGGACAGGAAGGGAGCTGTAAAGAGGGCAAGAGGTTTCTGGGACTTGCAACTGAATAGCAGGGCTCAAGGCCCAGGAAAGCCCTCTGGGACAAGAACACAGGGTTAGTATGGTGGCGTGGGAGCCACAGGCAGGACTGGCGGTGCATTGTGGGATAGGCAGGAATCAGCAAACGAGTCTGTTCATTCTGTGAGGAACCTGTGTAAAGCAGCTCACTGGCTGGGGCACCAGTCACAAGGAAGATAGAAATTGCACTCGAGCTTAGTCACACTGGGGACAAAACATGCCACAAAGAACAAGGAGCAAACAGACCCAGGACCAAGTGCTTGTGACAGGAGAAGGCAGAGGGCCTGGGAAAAGACAGAGCTATTGATGGGGTGTAGGGAGGGGCACTAGCTTCTAATATGAAAGGAGCTGGAGAACAGAGGGAAGGGCTAGAAGAAGCTAAGGCATTCAGCTGTAGCCAGGCAGGGACAGTTCCTGGCTCCTCATTATTTGCCATCCAAGACGTGTGCTTGGTGGCCACAACAGCACAAGCCTGATGTCTGTCTGTCTCAGCTCCCCTCCCTTCCCTGGGGATGGGACACTGAATAGCACCAGTCAGAACCCTTTGCAGGCCACTGAGCACAGCTATCACGTGGGCACCATAAAGAGGGAGTGTGCGACTCAGGGAAGAGGAGGGTGTGAGGGGCTGGGAGGCATGGGGGTGCTCTCTAGGCCCTTCAGTGGGTGTTTATCAGTTACCCTAGAGCATTTATCTGATGCCTGCAGCTGGCACGGCTCCAGTGTGGAGTGTGTGGCTCTGACAGGTCTGGTATGAAGGGCAAGACAGGCTGTGGATAGTGTGTGGGTGAGACTGTGTCTGTGTAGCGGGACTGTTTGTTGGTTAAACAGCTTGTTCCTATTTTCCCAGCTAGAACCCAGCGCCCCGGAGCCAGGGTATTATTAATTGTTCATTCTATTCACACCTCTGGCACACGAAACCCTGGGAGGATGGAAACTAATTATGTGCCAAATATGTCCCTCCTTGTTCCCTGGCAGGCACTGTGCACACTGTCCACCTTTTTACCAGAATCTGTGGGGCAGAAAGAGCCTGGGAAGCTCAGGCTCCAACCTGGTGTAGTTTCTGACACATTTTTTTAATGCCACAGTGTTGGGTGTTAAGGGTCTTTGGACAACAATTCTCAACTGGGGGGGGATGTGGGCTTATACTAAGACATGCAGAGTTGACATCATTATTTCATATTTTGAAAAGGAGCCTAGGATATTTTGCATCACAAAACACAAAGGGCACGGGATTCTTACAGTTTTTAATGGGTCATGAATTTTTAAAGGTGGAAAACTACTGGCCTCAGATGAGCCAGCTGCAGGCACAGCTTTGCTGAGTAGGTCCCCCAGGGGTTCTGAGGGACTGACACTGAGCAGAAGATGAGTCCCATTTCCCTTTGCACTTGTTCTTTCAAATTATTGTCTGCATGGCCAGGGGCACATCTCATGGCAGGAGACTTGCCCAGCATCCACACAGTCCCGGGTTCCATCCCAGCACAACAGGCCCGGGGGTAATGCTATCTCTGTAAGGTTTGTAACTCAAGATTAAAATAAAACTCGGCTCCTGGTATTCTCTAAAGATTGAAATTTGAGTAAGTTTGACCTGGGGAAGGGTGCCTCTGTCCCCCTGGGCTCAAAGCAGAAAGGAAACCTATTCAGAAAAGACCTCAGACCCCCACCCAGCATAGCTCTGCTCTGTAGAGGGGCAGGGGCAGGCCGCCGGATAAAAGGGGCAAAAGGCTCAGGACACAATGTCTTCTGTGGTGAAAATGTAGCATCAGAGAGACACAGCACCATCGGCCCACCTGTGCCATTTCCTACCAGGCCCCTGAGAAAGGAAGAGTGAAGCCCAGCACAGCCTAAGGCTCCCACCCCCGTTCTAAAGGTGCAGACTCTCTCCTCTCCCCCCTGGAAGAGGAAGCCCAGCTGACCTTAAATGTGTGCTTCCGGCTGATGTTGTCTGAGGGCTGCACAGCTGCCACCCGGAAGCTCAGCAGGGGGACGCTGCCCAGGATGCTCTCCTCCTTGTCATCTGCCGGAGAAACAGGTGCAAAGGTGTGTGCTCGAATGCGTGTGTGCATTTGTGAGTGTGTGCACATGTGCATTTGTGCATGCCCGTGTGTACGTGTGCTTGCACATGCCCACGCATGCGAGTGAGTGGTGCTAATGCAGAAGGAAAGGCAAGGAGTCCTTAACCTTATGCTAAGGATAAATATCAATGAATAGTCCATGTCCCCTGTGTCAGGCCTGTTCAATACCTTAGAGTAGATCCAACACCCCTAAATATGCCATGAAGAAGCTCTGCTATTCTCCACCCCCCAACTGAGAGATTAGTGATTTGTCCAGGTTCCTTAACCGTAAAAAGAGGAATCAGTCCTAAAATGCAGGAAACCTAACTCCAACGCCAGCATGCTTTACCCTTATCCTGTCTGTCCTGAATTGATAAGGACAATTGGAGCAGCAATACATAAAGTAGGGAGGCAGGATGGATACCGGCTCCTTTGGGTAATGTTCTGCTTATGTGTATTTGAGATGGGGCCCTGCATGGCCTAGGATTTACTATGTTGCTCAGAATGGCCTTGTGCTAATGACTCCCCTGCCTCCGAATCCCCAGTGATTGCAGCTGTGAACCACCTCACCTGGCTTGACGAAGACTCTAGGGTCTTCCTAGACTCCAGTGGCCTGCTAGGCCCCTCCCTGCTGTGGCAGCCATTAAGGCCCCTGACCTCCACAGGAATGCATGATGCTGCAAGAATCTAGTGGCACATCCCAGGCTAGTAACACAATTCATCTTGAATCCCAAAGGATTACCCAGCCAGGGTTACAGCTGTCAATAGGGGACCAGAAAGGGTGGGAATATTCCTTGGGACACATTCAAGACATCTCTGAGCCCATGGCAAGTCCTCCAATCTTCCCCAGTATTTCTGCTTGTTTTCTAGACAGTAGGAAAACACCATCAAGGTGTTTTTCCATATAGAAGAAATCACTCTAAGTTGTAGTCTCCCCAACATATGGTCATACTCATAGTCTGTTTCTTGGCTTCTCTGTCCAGTCCTTCTCATAGTGCCATGAAAAATAGGTAACTAGAGAAAAGGATCTTGGGACTGAAACGCAGGGCTGTCTCTGGGGAAACGGAAGCTATCATCATTCAGATGGCTAAGTGTGGGTCAGTGTTCAGAATGTGCTGTAGTTTGGTTATGGCCATTTGTCCCCACCCTCACTCATGTTGAAATTTGATTCCCACAGAAAAGTTCTGAGACCTTTAAGGGGAAAGTGTGACCATTTTCTTTGTTTTGTTTTGAGTCAGGGTCTTACTATGAATCCCTAGCTGTCCTGGGGACCAGGCTTGCCTTGAACTTACAGAGATCTACCTGCCCCTTCTTCCCAAGTGCTGGGCTTAAAGGTATGCCCAGATGACATGCCCATCTTACAGTGGGGTCCTCCTCCAGAGCAGGGTGCTGCAAAGTGAAGCTGCTTTGTGTTCTTCCATGTGCCCCCCCCCCATCCTTCTACTTTCTGACATGTGTCAAAGCAGCACAAATGGCCTCGGCCCCAGCTAAACAGATGCTGGTACCAAGCTGGCAGACCTCGGAGCCTCCAGATCCAAAGGCCAAAGTAAACCTCATTTTTTTTTTTTTATCAATTACCTAGCCACAGAAAATTGATTAATATGGGGTATGCTGAGGCCATCCCTCTGTGGCTATGTGGTATGCCTTCCTCAGTCCTGTCCCATGCTGGTTCTAGGGCAGGGAAATGTCTTATTTCTTAGTTCCGGACTTTCCTCTGTCCCTCTTGCTGTCTCCATGGCCTCTGCTTGGCTACAACTCAGGAAGAGCAGCTCCAGGGCAGAGGGTGAGCCTGGCATGACCTGTGTTTGTCAGAGTTAATGATTCATCACACTGCTCCCCGAGGCTGGAGGAAACCAGGGCTTCCTCACTGTGGATAAGTGAAGCACACATGCTCTCTGTTGCTTAGAGATCATCTCAACCTCTCCTCATCCCTCTTGCCCACCCCTTCCCACCACCACAGTCTGATTTGAAGTTGCCATTACTGTCATTAGCCCTTGCTTGGGTCTCTTGTGTTCTTGCTGACATGTGTTGTGGCATACAATTTAGAGTAATTTCTTAGAGGAGGCTGTGACAGCATTCATCAGATCTTTGGTCTCTTGTGTTGGGGCAGGAGAGCCTCACGTAAATGTGGGGATGACAGAGAGGGTAGAGGGTTGTTTATCCAGCATTGGCTAAACATCTGCCCTGCTGCACAGCTTTTAGTGCTGTGGACTTAACAGTAAATAAAATGGTAAGAATTCTTATACTCCGGAACAGCTTATATATTCTGCTGGGCCAGGAGGAAAATGAACATCAGCCTCTACTAGGAGGTGACTTCCAAGCAGCAATTAGTAACCTCTTCCTCCTTGTCCTTTTCCTCCCCTTACCCAGAAATCTCACTACCCAAATGTCCGCCCCATTCACCTGCTGTATCATCATTTGGGACCCAGACCTATTGCCTCCTGGATAAGTATTGATGGCTAGGAATTGAATGAGCAAGTGAATGAACCTGAGACTGGGGCTGTGACACCGCCATTGCCACGGCCTACTGCCGATGGGAACCTGCCTGGAGAGACCCAGATGCCAAGGACCTTCCAAAGCAGAGCCCAATAGCAAGACAGGATGAGACAGAAGGGCCCCTGGTTTCCCCTACCCTGATGGTGCTGCAGCAAACTTACCTTTGTAGTAAAAGAGGCAGCGATCCACCAGGACAAACCACCGCTTGTTCCACTGCTTTACCCCAGAGCTGGCCTGCAGGGCGCACAGAGGGACAGACGGGAAGGCCATGAGCTGGGTGTGGAGGCGCAGGCAGATGCAGTCAGAGTGCTCTGCGCCAGTTACAAGGACATCCTGGCTGGAGCTGCAGCATCGCCACTAGCACGTGGCAGCAACTCCCTTGAGATCTCAGAGGCTGGGAACTGACATTAGATTATTGCTTGTGACTTTCCAGTTCTGTCATTCTGATGCTCTGGGCCTCCCCGGGGGGAAGATAAAGGGGTCAAGAGGTACCCCTCAATGAGTGAGTAGAAGAGCAGACAAGAATATTGCAGTGTCTATCCAGGGAAAGTTTGTAAACCCCAGGACTTGAAGCCACCCCACCCCCAAGTAAGGGGATTTGCAGAGATGGGGTTACTACATCTACCCATCAGGAGCCTCATCTTAGAACCCCAAATTTGACCTCTAACTTGACCTAGTTAACTTTGAGGTTTCCTTCCTTCCTTTCTTTCTCTTTTCTTCCTTCTTTTTCTTTTTCTTTTCCTTCCTTCCTCCTTTCCTCTATTCCCCTCCTTCCTCAACCCCCTCCCCCTTTTTCTTTCTTTGTTTCTCTGTGTTGCCCTGGCTATCCTGGAACTTGCTCTGCAGATCAGGCTGGCCTTGAATTCAGAGATCTGCCTGCCTCTGTCTCTGCCTTTCTCTCTCTCTCTCTCTCTCTCTCTCTCTTTCTGCCCCTCTGCCTCTTTTTACCTCTCTGCCATTCTCTGCCCTTCTTCCCCTGCATCTTTCTCTCTGCCTGACTCTCTCTACCCCTCTCTCTCTGCCCCTTTGCTCTGCCTCCTACTGCCAGGCTGGGGAGGTTTTCAGTTTCTCTGAACATTTACACAACTGGGAGACATTCAGAAACAACAGGAAAATATACCAAGGAGCACATGGGCTGTCCTGAGTACAGAAGACTCACAACATAGCAGGGTGGCCTCACCTGTTTGAAGAGCCAGCCGGCCTTGGTGACGGGTGCACTTGGGTTCCGCTTCATGGAGTGTGAGCGTTTACCAAAGGCAATGGCTTTTCGGGAAGTTCGTGTTGCCTGGGGAGGCAAAGACAGCAGTCAGCTCCCCTCAACTCCCCTCAACTCCTCACAACTCTGTTGTCCCAGCTAATCTCTCCAGTGGGCAGGGCCTGGTGCCCTCCCGCTAAGAAGCTTTGATTCTCTACTAACTCAAAGGCCAGTCTTCTAATTCTTTGACTCTCCTGATTTCAAACATGGGTCTCAACAATACTAGTTGTTACATAGCTTTTTTCTTTTCTTTTCTTTTCTTTTCTTTTCTTTTCTTTTCTTTTCTTTTCTTTTCTTTTCGTAGGAAATATCAAAGAAGACTGCATGCTGGTTTCTTTTTTTGCATTTGTTTACTTTGGGAGGGGCACCTGCATGCCAAGGTGTGGGTGCTGAGGTTAGAGAATGGCCTGCAGTTAGATCTCTCTGTGGGTTTTGGGGATCAAACTCTGGTCACCAGGCTCGGCAACAAGTGTCTTCCCCACTCCAAGCACTCAGCAGGGCCCAATTTGCTCTTTCCTTTCTCCCCACCTCCCCTCCTCTCCTTATAGCCACCACTTACACAAGGCTTCTGGCATGACTGTTACTCTCCCCTCCCCCACCATCCTCTCTGTGTCCTGTTTCTGTCCCACACCAGAGATCCCACAGAGCTGGGAGGGTAGACAGTGTCCGCTGGCTCCTTAGCAGCAACTATCTGCTGCTGACCTTTCAGTCTGAACCTTCTCCTCACTGTCTGCTTCTGAAGCAGATTGGTTTGGATTTGTTTGATTGGTCAGTTTCATTTGTTTAGTCTAAGGATTTTGTTGTCAGTCACTCTCTTCACCATAAGACTTGCAATCACCATGGGAAACACACTATTCTTGAAAACGGCCCATTCAATGCCATTTTGGTTTTGGGAGACAGGGTTTCTCTGTGTAGCCTTGGCTGTCCTAGAACTCAGTAGACCAGGCTGGTTTTGATCTCACAGAGATCCTTCTGCCTCCCTAGTGCTAAGATTAAAGCCCTGTACCACCACCACCTGGCTCCAATATCCTTTTATAAGACCTTATGTCCTCGACTCCAAACCACGCACAGAGAACCAGCTACTCAGCTCGGGCCTGCCCTCC